ATTAATATGATAAACTGATTTTAAAATAAGTATTTGAGTTAACTATTAATATATATTATTTGTTATTAATAAATAATGTATTGTGATAATGATTGATATATTATTATATTAATAATGATTGATAATTATTGATATAAATATTTATTAAAGATTATTAGAATTATTGATATTTCACAGATATAATAATGATTCTTGATGAATATCATCCAGAATTAAATGATCTGCATGAATATTTTAATTAGTGAAATTTCAAATCCAAATAGTTTTGTTATCAGAAAGGATTGATCTTATAAAAGATATGTAAATTCATCTCGTTATTAGATCTCGAAGTACAAAATTGATGCTAGTAAAAATAATTCAATTATTTCTTTATTAGCATTAATTTTGTACTTCTGGTACCAATTTAGCTGAAATTGATATGTAAATAGTTCCCATCAAGTACATTTTTTTATTAGGTCAATCCTTTCTGATAACAAAACTGTTAGGATTTGAAATTTCACTAATTAAAAATATTCACGTAGATCATTTAATTTCTTTAGAATGGCAATATTAACATATTTTTAGGCTTTTTTTAGACGTTCTCTAGGTTATTAGCTTTAAAATGAGTATAGGAACCAGATACATATATAATTGATGTTAGAGGCACTAGAATTTTTTTTCGTAAAATTTTCACTTTTCGTTTCTTTCGCGAGTCACTGTAAATCAAACAATGATTTATAAAAAGAATCTCCTATTTTCGATCCTATTTAATGCTACCATGCATAGTCGAATCGGTCTAAAACAACATAAGCATCCTGAACATCTTTTTGTGCTTTTTTTCGAGCAAAATATATCGGGCAACTATTATTAGTGCAAATAACATCTTGATGTAAACTTCCTTGACATCTTTGACATTGTGTCCATAATCGGGCAAATTGAATTTCGAGTTTATTAACTGTATCCAGCTGGATAAAAAGATAATAAACGTCAATGAAATAATAATATAAATAAAAGAGAAAAAAGTGAGGTACCTGTTTATGATATAAACTGCCCAATTTTGTGTTACAATGATGACAAACTGCTGATTCTTAATAAAGAATGCAAGTATTTATTAATATATTTATTAATAAATGTATTATGAATCGCATTCATAACCAATATATATCTACCGTTCTTGGATAAAGGGGTTTTACAGCCCAGACAAGTTGCAGTTTTTACTGCGAATTTCATAAGTCCACCAATAGTCGGAGTTTGGACCGCAATTTTACGTGTATGATCACCATCAACTGTAGCAAATAATATCAATAATCTGTTAAAAGAAATAACTAAAAAATATGGATTTATCCTCACGTAAATGTTGAGCTTTTTCTCCAAGAATAGGCTCGAAAATTCTCATTAAAGGTTTGGATAATTGGTTATCAAGGTAATATTTGGTATCAATAGGTATATTATTCTCGAGTACATAGATGGGATCTTCAGATCTTTCATAAGCAGCGGCACCTATAATAATGCAGAAGCTTTTAATTTAACATTTAATTGTGTAAAACGATATTTATTTTGTTATTAACCTTTGGTGGACTTCACTATTACATACGCAACGCGATCCCCAAGAGTTGGAGCTGAACCTTAAGTATTAAATAAGACGTTATAATATTCACATAAAAAATGGTAAAGATGAAATGTTAGAACCAGATGTATACCTGCATCACGCTTTCTCATTCTTCCTGCGAGCTCTACGTGAGCTTGTTTTCCAGCATAATCTACAAAAAATAAATTAGCATCAGATAAATGTATTAAGCAGTAACTTGGATAAAAATAGATTACCGTCTTCAGATTTGCTTAGGGCTTTTGTAATTACTAATTGTGACAGGTCTATTTTATTCTGTAAAAGTTCTGATATAGTCTTCATCGTATATCTATTGAACATTAGATTTAAGTAGAAATATTTTTGTTTGTGCATATCAAAAAATATTAGATTAAATAAATGGATTACTCCTTAGCTCCTTCGACATCTCTATCAACAAGGATTTTTCTCAAGCACGTCTCTATTACATTTTGGACAAGAAGACAATTATCACGTCTAACGGTCTAAATTTAATATAAAATATTAATGAAGATTAAAAAATACTTTATCATTATTTTTACATGATGGTAAATAATCTTACTTCAATCCCCTTTGTATCTAATTTGTCCCAGTTTTTTGGATTTGTCCAATATAGCCCAGCATAACGCTTCTTACTAATTAATAGATATGGAAAATACACTTTTTCAAATTCTAGATTGATTGGCTTAATGAATTTGCTGGTAACAATATCAGCTGCTTCTTTGCCTAAAAGTGTATTTGATGGATGAATGGGTAAAATGTGCCTAGGATTTTTAGCTCCACAAGTCAATTACCTAATTTCATTGCTTCCTCTATATTATCAACGCCAAATTTCACCATTACCGAATCGGTATCTCCATAAATAACTGTGGCATCATTCTTATATCCATTTATTATTTTATAATGACTTTCCAGTTCCTATAAATTAACGAACAAGCATTAATTGATACTAATCTCTAGAAAATATTAATTATGATGGCAATATAGACCTGTTTTGTTTTTTCAATCATTTCTCGTCCATATGCTGTTACACTTGATGAAATCTCAATGCAAGGCAGTTTTCCAATAGTCGCACCAGTAAACCCATAAACAGAGTTTGCGCTGATCTATTGCAAAAAAAATAACCTATAATAAAAAAGCTAGCATAAATTTAAAGCAATTAATTACCTTAAGAGCCAGCTGCCGACCATCCAGTACTGCTCTTTTGAAAGGATCTGTCTCGTTTTTTAAATCGGTTTTGGCTTTTTTTCTAGCAGATAATAAATCTTCCAAAATAGTTGGTAAAACGCCTTTACGATGACAAGATTTGACAAATCGCGCTAATCATTTTTGTGAAATAATGGTTAATAATAGTGAGTCGGAAAAAAGTTACACTTGAAAATTAATTAATTTACCGTTCACAGGCGTAAGTATATAATCCTCATCTTGTTTTAAATTAAATGCAGCTATCTCATTATTATCCAATAGTGTTGTGTAGCATATATTATGTGCCATCATAATCGACGGATACAAAGAACTGAAATCGAGGGTTGTGATTGGAAGATCATAATATCCCTTTAGTGGCTCAATTACCGTTGCACCTTCATATGGCTCATCGCTACCTATTTATAAATTTGAAAATAATGAATGAATTAATTAATGAATAGTTATTAAATTACTCGGAAACATAGATTATCATTACTTTCTGATTTTAAAGCAGGGATAACTAAATCCTGTTCAAAAGCTTTTCTGAATAGTTGTGATATAACTTTAATTTGTTGTCCTCTCGCTAAAAGGTAATTGAAAGGTACTCCCGTAACTCGGGCCATTTCCATATAATTAATAAAACACATTAACTTATCCATTAATCTTTGAGGCAAAAACGCATCCTAAAGTAATAGAAATAAAATCAATATGAACCTATGAGAATATGGAGAACAAAAGGTGTTAATATAATAAATAATATTCATAAGAAATACTTTTAAACAATAAATTGCTAGACGACGGCGAGTGTCACGGTTGCCATTTTGCAGATCTGTGATAATAGAATGATGGACTTCTTCTTTCTGTTCACCTAAGATATAATAATTAATGAATTTTATAGCCAATATTTTATTTATTCTAAAGCATCAATATTAAAAAACCATGGCTTACCCAAAAAATGAGCAGAAACAGAGTTTAAAGTATATGATCTGAGTTTATAATCACGTTGCATTACTTGAAGTATATCGAATTGAATTCGTCCCTCAATATGTAGCTAAAAGTCAAGGTAATGCTGATCTTGATGTAAAAGATAGAGGAATTAAATTAAGACTCAAAGGATATTTGATAATTTGCTTTCTCGTGTGCCATAGGCTCTTGAAGAGAATTTAGTATCTTTGACTTCGGTTTTGGATTCTATTTTCATATAAACAATTAATATGATAATACGTGAATAAAGGAAATTTGCACGACAAAAAGACATACTAGAGATTCGCCCAAGAAACGGAAAGTTAAAGACTTTAAGATGATGAGCACGATCAAGTAAATATGGCAAATCGAAATTTGCTATATTATAACCGATTATCACATCCGGATCAACCTAATAATTTTTTATAAGTAAAAGAATCAATTAATCAATAAATGATGATTTATATTCTACGTGTGAAATATAAAAATAGCACATTTACTTGAATTACAAAATCGCGCCAGCTATTTAGCAATTGAGGTTCATCAAGATTTTCAATTAAATCGGTAGCGACAATAGGAGCACAAGTGTTTAAAGTGAAAACATTACGAATAAAAGGCTTATTTTCGCCTTAATAAATAAATATTTTATTAATAAACAATTTTATAGAAACAAAATTGAATGTTTATGTTAATAAATTAACCTTGAATAGTGACAGTATTGGCGATCTGTATGACCGCATCAATGTTAGCTTCGGGAAAGGAACCTTTTCTACCAGCACATTCAATGTCAAAACTGAGAATTCGAAGTGGTGCAATTTTTGACCATTCGCCATCGGGCGCATGACTTATGAGATTTTTGTAGCTTGAGCCATAACGTAAAAAACATAGGTAAGCTAATTTTTCTGGTGCATATAAAACTCATTTTCATTATACCTGGTCTCTATTTCAAGTTGACAATTGGAGGTTTTCCGAGCTTCAATGAAAATTTTATAACTGTTTGCGGGCAATTCAATCCAATTTGCACCAGTTATCTTGAAATATAAGTAAACTGAATTAATATAACAACAACGACGACGTCTTCATCTTAGCATGAAAGAAAATTATGGAAACCTTATTATCAATCATAAATCGCATTACATATGAAATATTACTGTCGAATGTTAAATTTCTAAGCCCGTCATAATGAAAAGTTCCGTTTTCAATGAAATGTGTTTTGAAGTCAAGTCATAATAAACACAATAAGTCAAAAGAACAGAATTCACAGTTAGATAGATAAACAAAGGATATTTTTTGCTTGTGACAATGACTTTGAGTCGTTAAAGGTGATTTTGAGAAATGGATTTTTCTGATTGCCATGATATCCCCATATACTCTCTTTCATCACTATCTCAATTCTAAATATTTTACTTCCAGCTCCAGTAAGAGTTTGCTAATTTACGAATCATTAAGATGTTATAGTATGACATATAAAAGATAGAGTACGCGATTCAAATTTATTATTCGTCTTACCTCGAGATTCCTCTGAAAATGTGGCAAATCATTGTCTTTAAAACCAACAGGTGCTGGAATGTAAAAATATGGCAAAAAGCCTGATACATGACAGAGAACACTATTCCCTCGCTTAAAATTTTATATAGTTGTTAATATATATATATGTATGTGTGTGTGTGTGTATATATAAAAACATCAAAATATAAACAACGGAAATTTTGTCCTTATAAGCACCTCAGTAACTCCATATAAGCGGATAATCGGTCTTCTCGTATTCAAATCATTATATTCATCAATTTCAATTTGCTGAAATACTACAGGAAGAGTTAAGTCATTTTGACAAAAATATAAAAAGTAATACGCTCTCCTACTTATATGATCCTGAGCTGGATTTATAACAGGTACTTTAGGCCGAGACCATTTCTGTTGACGCTGCTCTTCTTTTATATTGTTAACTTCATTTAGCATATTTGAATATTTTTTTTAATTCACATAAAAGCGATGCATACTGATATTCGTGCTGTTGTTTTCTGGATCTTCATTTTCCTGATTTTCTTGAAGGCTAGCTAGAACATCTTCAAACGAAGATTTAAAATGTGGGGCATTCGAAGTTTTTGAATAATCTTTTCGCGTTTTATTAACAGATGGGGTTTCCATTTCAGTTGTGAGGAATTTAATTCAATTTGTAGAAATTCAACTAATTTAATCAAATAAAATAACGCGTGTCGTCATTGACATGAAGTTAATTGCGTGAGGAGACCAATAAGAATGCGCAAATTAATCAAATATGTGCCGGCAGCATAAACCGAAGATCATATGACCAGATTATAACTCTTCGGATTAACGGGATAGGATTTTGACCGCATGCGCGCATGCGCGATAAGAAAGTGAGTTTTGATAGTGTCAAGCGTTGGCTATTATCAAAAAAAAAACCAATTTTATTTGTAAAATAATATTTGCAGAATAAAACTCCTAAGCATTAGGCAAATACACTACCTGGACAAAAGTCTTGCACACCGAAAAATTTTAATTGTACAAAATTACACATAATAATTATATTTCAAAATTTAATATAATATTGTTTTGGTTTTGAACAAACGCGTGTATAATTTTCGTGTTGTTTGTAAACACACATCAGGATATATAAACAAATCCGCAAACACTTCTAATCTTTATTGATTTTAAAATGCATCCCTTAACTGAAAGTCAACGAGGTGAAATTATTGGCCTTTACAAAAATAAACAATCAGTACCAAAAATTAGTAGAGTGCTCAAAGTTTATAGAGCAACTGTCACTCGTACTATTGCTAAGTATCTTAATGGAGATGACCTTACTACCCGTCCCCAATCTGGGCATCCGAAATTATTAACCAATAGAAGTCAAAAAATTCTAAAGACTATTGTTAAAAATAATAATAAGAAATCAGCTAAAGTAATTAAAAACAAATTTGTTGAAAAAACTAATATTAGAGTTTCCACAAAAACTATTAGAAGAAATTTGCATGAAATGCAGATTTTTTCTTGTATACCAGCTTATAAATCTCTTCTTAGTGATCAGCAAAGAGAACAGTATCTAAGATGATGCATTTAAAAAAGAAACTGGACTGTTCGAAAATGAAAGTCTCATCTGGAGTGATGAGAGTAGATTTATAATATTTGCCAATGATGGACCAGGCCACATTTGGAAAACTCCTGGCACTAGATTTAATATTACAAACATGATTCCAATTGTAAAATTTGAAGGTGAAGGACTAATGGTGTGAGGGTTTTTTCAGGTAAAGGATTGGGTTTATTAGTAAAGGTGGAGGGTAAAATGAATAGACTAGATTATATACAGATACTGGAAAAATATTTACTGCCTTTGATAAATAAGGAATTCAATGGCAAGGGATATTTGTTTCAGGATGATAATGCCTCAGTTCATACTGCAAAGAATGTCAAGCAGTAGATGTTCATAAACAAAGTTAATATTTTACCAGATTGGCCAAGCCAGTCTCCTGACTTAAATCCAATTGAGCATTTATGGTCAGAGCTGGGAAGACAAATAAGAAAGCGATCACAAGCCATAAAAAATATTATAGAATTAGAAACTGCATTACAAGAAGAATGAGATAAAATTTTGATAAATCAAATAATCAGCTTGATAGAAAATATGTCACAAAGAATAGAAGCAGTTATTACAAGTAATGGCTAGCCTACTAAATATTGATTATACATAGTTACTTCATTGGTTAAAGTATAAACTATTAAAATTTGAAATGTAATTATTATGTGCAATTTTATGTAATTAAAAATTTTTAATGTGCAAGACTTTTGTCCAGGTAATGTAACTTGTAATATTTGTTTTGAACTTTGGTATCAATAATCAATTTACACAATATTCTTTAACACTTTTCAATTTGCAGATATTTTTTGCTTATATGCATATGACTTTCTTCATATGTCAAAAAGCTTGTTAGCTTATCAATTAGTTTCACAACTTCAGTCAATATTATTATAGATTCAATGACTATTATATCTTCTTCAATTGCTTCTTTCTCTTGAACCAAAGCAACTATTATCTTATTATCTAACTTGTCTTCTGTTTATAATGTGAGATCAATATCCAAGTATTTTCTAACTGTTAAAGAACTTTCCAGTTGAAAATAATTAATTAAATACTCTTCTCATCTTTAATATCAATTGAAAAGTTAAGAAAGTTTTCAATACTATCAGGTAATAATGGAAGAATTTCCATCTTTCTTCAGCATGATGTAATAATTATCATTGAATCAATATTTTCTTATATATCTGTAATAAACTGAATTATATCAAGTATATTAAGATTATGAATAGAAATATTCATCTGAATATATATATTATATTAATTTGATCTTTACATAAATTCTGATAATATTATTGTGATATGAACTTTTAGTAGAATATTAATTAATTATATATTATTAATTATTTCATATCATAATATGATTGGATGAATAATTATTTATATCTTATTGGATATTAGCTTTAGAGAATATTTATAGATATTTCTAGAAGATTTCACAAGTATGATGATCATGACAAAATTATCATAGCAAAATTAATAATACTATCATAATAAAATCAACATTATAATACTAGCTAAAGATCATAGCAAAATTAATATAAATATTATAACAAAAGTATTATTTATATAATCTTTAAAATATATAAAAATAATGTATCTTAGCTAGTAAATTATGATAGATAGTTAAGAAGTTAATTTAGTAAAATCAATTAATAAGTTAATTAGTTAATTAGTTAATTATTTAATTTAGTTTTAAGTTTTATGAGTTTAGTTCTCAATTTATATTTTAGTAGATTTTAGTTTAAGAGAATTCTAAGAAATTTCTCTTGTAAAATAGATCTTAATTAAGATCTATTATTTCATTTTGTTAATAAACTAAATATTATATCTGTCTTAAATTATATTTTAAAATTAGATTACATTTTAGTTAGTTATAACAAGAATATTATTATTATCTATCTTTAAATAAATCTTAAAATAATAGCATTTATATTCTTATCAATAAATCTTTTAAAGACTCTCTTAACTTTATTATAAGTATGTAATTATTTTTATTATATGCTTTTATAATATTAGAATTAATACTTGCTTTCATATTAAACTTGTATCAAAAAGATAATAACTTTTTAATATTCTCTCTGTAAAAAAATAATTTCAAAGAGTTATCAATCTAATTCAGATCTAGATAAAGAATTCTTTGTGGATTAAATTAAAGTTAGTAGAGAATCAAAAAGCAACTGAAGAAATAATTTTGCAATATATCAAAGTGAATCTAACTAGAGAAATCAAAGTAGAAAAAGAAAGATTCTTTACTCAACTATTTATTAAATTATATCTTAAAGATTATATTAATTTTGATCATCAGATTATCTGAAAAAAATTTTATCATTTTTATCAAGAAGTAATACATGATGAAACTCAAATCAAAATAAGACAAGATTTTGCAACTTTAATTGAAGAAGAAACTAATTTATCAACAAAATAAATATAAATATATCTCTATAAATTATAACAAGAGATATTTGAATTCAAAGATAAAAAAAGCAAATATCTAACAGAATAAAGATAAAGAAAGTAACAAGACTTACCTGTAGAAATATCTAATGTAACAATTTTGATTGGGTTATCTTTCTTTAGATCTCTTTTAGTTTAGATCTTCATTTTGCGCTATCTGTATA